AACAGAAAAACATAAGAGAAAAATAACGAACCCAAAAGCTGGTTCTTGCAAAGATCAACACCAATAAACATCTACCTAGATTGAGCAAAAAAAAAAAAAAAAAAAGACTCAAATCAGTAAACTCAAAAATGAAACAGTACACCATTACCAATCTTACAGAAATAAAGGATCATGATAATACTATAAACAACTATATGCCAACAAATTAGATAAACTAGATGAAATGAACAAATTCCTAGAAACATACAAATTCCCAAACTGACTCAAGTAGAAAAGGAAAATCTTAACCAAATTATGACAAGTAATTGAATCAGTATTCAAAAACCTCTCTACAAAGAAAAGTCCCAAAACAGGTTTCACTGGTGAATTCCTCTAATCATTTTAAGAATCAATACCAATTCTTCCCAAACTTCCAAAAACGTAAGAGAAGGGAACACTTCCTAACTCGTTCTATAAGATTAGCAATATCCTAATGCCAAAGCCAGATAAATCCATCCTACGATAAATTTATTTCTCACAAAGGTGTGAGTTTGTAATTCTGAAGTCCTTCACATGCATATAACTAAGGTTGAAGTTACTAAGTTGTAGATGATGAGGGCCAGGCTGGGTTCCTGACTGTCCAAGAAAAAAGTTACAAAAAAGCACAAAAGGAATAATAGAATGAACTCTATGATGCTGATGGGAGTTGAAGATACTAGTAAAAACTCTTAGTTGTGTATTTTAATATACACTGAGAGATACAAATACATTTTCTACTTCTCTTTGCTGAGAGGCCCTGGAAGCACTAATACCCCAATATAAAGGAGCGTATCAAGCATCCAAATTTCGGAATCTAAGTATCATTCTTCAGTAAGAGGAACTAGAGTTCCTTAGAAAAGTGGCTGACCCCAAGGCTGGGCAGGAAAAACACAAGCTGGACCTGGAACCTCTTCTGGAATCAGATAATACACAAGTGTTTGTTGTAAATGCAAGAAAAGACACAGAAGCCAACCCAACAGAGCTACTAATGGCCAAAGCTAGAAAAATATGAGCAATGAAGTAAATAACAGTATTGGATTTTCTTGAGTCCAAACTAATATAATAATAAATTTTAAAATGAGGGAGAAATGAGTCTTCCTTAAAGAAGCAGTCCAATTATTAAATGTAAAAAAAATAATCAGTGGAACACCAAAGTAATAATTTGTAATAATCCACCAATGAATGAAAAATTTAGTGGGCAAATGCTTAAAGAGAAACAGCATATTTGCATAGACTCAAAGTATCTTCCCAAATATTTATTAATTACACAAAGGGGGAAAACGTTAAGGTGTAACTTTACACTTGAAAGCCTAGGGGCGCCTGGGTGGCTCAGTGGGTTAAAGCCTCTGCCTTCAGCTCAGGTCGTGATTCCAGGGTCCTGGGATCGAACCCTGCATCGGGCTCCAGAGAGCCTGCTTCCATTCTCTCTCTCTCTGCCTGCCTCTCTGCCTACTTGTGATCTCTCCCTGTCAAATAAATAAATAAAATATTAAAAAAAAAAAAAAAGCAAGCCTTGCAGACACCCTCTTAATCCAATGATAAAAGCTAACACCACCGGAATAGGACAGAATGTTATCATGTATCCCTTGAATAGGACCAGCTGAGAAGGTCATATCACTCCTATGGTAGTTTTCCCAAAATCCATAACTTCACTCTAACCACGAGAAAACATTAGACAAGATTTGTGACCAGCAGTCTTCCAAGGTGTTGAGGTTATGAAAAACAAGGACGGACTGAAGAACGGTGACAGGCGACAGAAAACCAAAGAGGTCTAACGACTATACGTGATGAGGGACCCCAAACTGCATCCTGAAAGAGGAAGGGTGTTAGTGGGAAAACTAATGAAACTCAAAGTTTCTAGTTTAATTAGTAGCACTGCACCAATGTTAATTTCTTTTCATTATTCTTGATAATTGTTTTGATAACTGTTCCATAGTTAATGTTAATGTCCATAGTTAATGTTCCCTAATTAACATTAGGGAAAGTTAGGTGAAAAATATACAGAAACTCTACTATCTTTGTAAGTCTTCTGTATATCCAGAATTATTTCAAAACAAAAAGTTTATGCCTGTTAAGACTTTAATGACAGAGCAAGAGTCTTATATTTTAAGAAATAAAAACAGGATAAAAAACAGAAAGTAGAGAATGATTTCAACCATGTTTTTGAAAACATAAGAAGACTCAGTGGTGGGGGGGGGGGGTAAAAGAGAAAGAAAGCAAATGCTCCAAGGCATTAACAGTGATTTGTCTGGATTCTGGAATTACAGAGAGTTGTTTCTCTTTATATTTTATACCTTATAGTATTTTCTAAAAGTTTCTATAGTAAGCATGGATAACTTTTATGATCAATGATATAAAACCATTTTTAAAAAAAGAATTACAGCTCTTGTACCAATACGATAAATTTAAAAAAGAATTATAGCTCATGTGATAAATGAAGAAATGGCATAGACTGGCAAGTATTAAATCATTTTGTTTGCTAAAGGGTGAAATATTAAGAATGTAAAACGAGGGCGCCTGGGTGGCTCAGTGGGTTAAAGCCTCTGCCTTCAGCTCAGGTCATGATCCCAGAGTCCTGGGATCGAGCCCTGCATCAGGCTCTCTGCTCAGCAGGGAGCCTGCTTCCCTTCCTCTCTGTCTGCCTCTCTGCCTACTTGTGATCTCTGTCTGTCAAATAAATAAAACCTTTAAAAAAAAAAAAAAGAAAGAATGTAAAACAGAATTCAGCATACAAGTGGATACAGTGAATTAGAGAAAGAAGAGCTTTTCAGCCTAAGCCACTGGACAGCTAATGGTGCCATAACAAAACCAGAGAAGGAGGGTCACAGACAGCATAATAAATTCCACTGTGGAAGGACCTGGGGATCAGCGGAAAGAAAATATCCAACAGGCAACTGCAAACAGAGAATGAAACTCGGAAGGGAGACTAGGGCCAGAGACAAAGAATACAAAAGTGACTTGGTCAGTTAAGCGTCCAACTCTTGATTTTGGCTCAAGATCCCAGGGCTGTGAGACAGAGCCCTGCAGCCAGCTCTGCGCTGGGTGTGGAGCCTGTTTAAGATTCTCACTCGTCCAGGGCGCCTGGGTGGCTCAGTGGGTTAAGCCTCTGCCTTCGGCTCAGGTCATGATCCCAGGGTCCTGGAATCGAGTCCCACATCGGGCTCTCTGCTCAGCGGGGAGCCTGCTTCCTCCTCTCTCTCTGCCGCCTCTCTGACTACTTTGTAATCTCTATCAAATAAATAAATAAAATCTTTAAAAAAAAAAAAGATTCTCGCTCATTCTGTCTCTCCCCGTCTCTCCTCCCCCCACCCCGCCGACCCTGCACCCAGCTTGCAAGTTCTCTCTCTTAAAAAAACAAAACAAAACAAAAAACAAGAATATAAAGGTGTCAATCTACAGGTATTTAATGAACACATAGAGACGGTTCACTTCTCCTACCACTATAATGCAGAGCAATAAAAGAAAGCCAAGGACGAAATCAGAGAGAATTAGTCAGGCAGAGAATGAGCCAAAGAGCTAAAGAGGAAATTAAAAAGTAACTGACAAAGGACTGGGAGAAAATACTAAAGAGACTGGTGTGTCTGATAAGGGGTTAATACCCAAAATATATAAAGAATTCATACAACTCAACACCAGGAAGCAACTAATCTGATTTAAAATGGGCAAAGAACCTAAACAGACACTTTTCAGACGAAGACATCCAGATGGCCAACAGGCACACGAAAAGACGCTCAGCACCACCAGTCGTGAAGGAAATGCGCACCAAAACCACATGAGCTATCACCTAACACCTGTCAGAACAGAACAAAATAGACAAGAAATAACAAGTGTTGGCAAGGGTATGGAAAAAAGAACCCCTTGTGCACCGCTGATGGGAATTTAAGTTGGTACAGTCACAGTGGAAAACAGTATGGAGGTTACCCGAAAAATTATAAATAGAATTACCATATGATCCAATAATTCCATTCCTGGGCATTTATTTACACAAAGAAAACAAAAAGATGTATGTATGGCTGTTTACTGCAGCATTATAGTAACCGTGATATGGAAGCAGCCCAAGTGTCCCCTAATAGATGAACGGATAAAGAAGACGTGGTACAATGGAAGACGTGTGCAATGGACTATTACTCAGACACAAAAATAATGAGTCACTACCGTATGTGACTATCTGGTTGGACATAGAGGGTATTACGCTACATGAAATAAGGCAGACAGACACAGACAAATGTACCATATGATTCCACTTACATTTGTAATCTAAAAACAAATGAATAAACAAAGAAACAAAGAGAATCAGAACTATAAATACAGAGAAATGATGGTGACCAGAAGGGGACAGGGATGGGAGATGGGCAAAATGCGTGAGAGCGGGGTGAGAGATACAGGCTTCCAGTTACTGAATAAATACGTCATAAGAATAAAAGGTAGAGAATAGGGGATACAGTCCAGTGTACTGTCACAGTGTTGTATGGTAACAGATGAGAGCTGCCGTCATGGTGAGCACAGCGTAGGGCATAAACTTGTTGAATCACTACGCTGCACATCTGAAACTATCATGTATGTCAACTATATTCAAATTTTGAAAATTTTTAAAAATAATTAACAAATCAAAATCTATGGAATGTAGATGAAGAAGTACTTAGATGAAAATTTTTGATTAAAGACTTATAGAAGACTAATATTAATGAGTTAACAATCTAAGTTATAAAAAAAAGAAGAGGGGTCAAAAAAAATAGTAGTAGATTACTGAACAAGAAAACAAAGACATAATGTAGAGGATTCAGGAAAGACAAAAAGTGGCAAACCCTTGATAAAACTAATCAAGGAAAAACAACCAAATGCATGAATGTATTAGGAATGAAGAGGGGGGTTAATTATAGAAACAGCAGAGCTTTAAGTAAATTTGTGTGCAATGCTGAACAGAAATTGATTATTACAGATGGTTACATATTTGGTCACCACAGCCATTCATTTTTACTTACCGCCAACAGAAGACACATTTATTTGCACAAGCCAAGCTTGGGGTAGTTTCCATGCAACGATGGCTTTCAATGCCATAGAATGTATGTTTATAGCAACCTCCTCTCCCTCGGAGCATCGACTGTGAAAGTGAAAAAACAAATGATAATCTGGATAAAATCCTCAAGGCAAGGAAACAGAACACCAAGTACATCATATTTAAGAAAAAATGTGCATTTCATAACCATAAATACCCCTACTGGTATTGGCATGATGCAGAAAATTAACATCATAGTGTTTTGATGGTGCTTTGGGTTTTGATGGTCCTTTAAGTTTTCTGAAACCCAGTGAAATAAACCTATGATTCATTAACTCTGAAAGATCTATAGAGAAGGCCACTGATGCTTGCACGTTCAAATCCATTCAACTGCCTCAAATAATATTAGTCCAATAATACAGAAAACCAAGGGATAGGTACGATAGGCTCCAAGAAGAGGGCCGCAGCACTCATATGAAAGGGTATCTCTGCTTTGAGTAAGGGAGGGTGGATAAGGGAATGCATCCTGAAGTATATTCTGTGTCAACTGAAGGGCAGAACTTGAACATACTGAGGCTGTTAAGGGGACAAGCAGCATGAACGTAAAAGACATATTTTTCCCAAAAAGGACACTATTTAATATATGAGTTGTAAAACCACGGTGAGTGTAGTAAGAATGAAAAGTTGAAGAAATAGTGCAGATCAACTTAGGGTTAGAATCACGAGATATTACCAAGCTTTCTGAGGTCTCATCAGAAAGATCCATCTAGAAATTCTGCAAGACAGGCTGGATATCAGTAAGAGCGAAATCTGGGGGGGAAGCTATGCAAATAAGGTTATGGTGACTTGGCTCCTATTAGTGGAGAAAAGAGGAAGGGTGCTAAGGAGGTATGCTCAAAGGCACTTCCCACTGGAGGGTCAAAACAGAGCTACCCAAGGTAACTCTGATGTTGACTCATCTCAGCTGCGACTGAAGTGCGACTGAATTAACAACAGAAACAAACAAGGAGATGCAAGGAGCCCGAGTGTGTGTGTGTGTGCGCGTGTGTGTGTGTGCGCGCGCGCATGTGTGTGATATATATATACCAGTGTGCTAATATTATAATCCTATCCACAATGAAAGAAAATTACCAAAAAATCTACCAGCTTGATTACTATGTTGGTTGATCACAAAGTCTTATTTTTTGCCCTGATAAAAAAGGATCCCTTGTCCATCTCACTTGGTACTTGCATAACGAAAAGTAAGAAAAAATACTGTTCAAGGTAATGACAAATTCTCTTTCAACTTCCCAGTAAAATATCCAAAAGGCAAACAAAACATTCAAATCTTGCAAACAGCACCGGAAACTAAAAATAAAAGCCTTCCAAATGCCAAAGTCTGAGGGAAACCAGCACTAAAGGAGAAACGAAGTTGAGGACCTGAAGATTCCATTATTTACAGAGAAGGTAATGAACCTCAAGGACGGGTGTTGAATGTACAAGAATGAGTAAGACCGAGCCCCCAACCATGATCCAGTATGAGGAAATGTCAAGTAAAGAGGCAAAATGGGGGGCGCCTGGGTGGCTCAGTGTGTTAAAGCCTCTGCCTTCGGCTCAGGTCATGATCCCGAGGTCCTGGGATCGAGCCCCGCATCGGGCTCTCTGCTCATCGGGGAGCCTGCTTCCTCCTCTCTCTGTGCCTGCCTCTCTGCCTACTTGGGATCTCTGTCAGTCAAATAAATAAAATCTTTAAAAAAGGGGGGGGGCAAAATGGGTAATGCTATTGCAATAGGGCATTTGAATCGATCAAGAGTGTCCTGCAAGCAACAGAAACTGACTGTGGCTGAAAAGAAAAGGGATTTATTAAAAGGACCCCACAGCTCCCAGAATCTTTAGAAAGGCAGAAGTACGGCCGGCCGGCAGCAGGATCAGCCCTCACTCCCTCAGACGCCATCACGCTCGGGACACACCACCGGCACCGGCCCTGCAAAGCAGAGGATACTGCCATGAGCCCAAGCATGAGGTGTCCGTGACCCAGGTCCTTGTCCTCACGCACCTCACACTCCCAGTCTCAGGCGAAGGCAAGCACCACCCTACATGATACCGTTACACCCACCGCCAGCCCGAGATACCAGGCAACAGTGTCTCTCCTCCTCAGCTTCTGAAGCAGGCAGTGGGTCCTTGCGCTCAACAAAGCTAATGTCACAGGAATTCCCCAAACACGAAAAGGCCCAGGGCCCAGATGCTGGGCAAGCAGAGAAAAGCCAAGTGTCCACCAGGCGTTCGCGGAGGCCACGAGATGGACGCCAAGCCAGCTGGCCTTGCAGGAGCAGAGGGAACTTCCCAGAGGGTGCTGTGCACACTGAATACCGGAGGGCTAAAAGGATAAAGGGACAGAGGCGCACGAGAAGAAGGATGGCGCGCTGTTTTTTCAGGCGCCTGGGGGGTTCCGTGGGTTGAGCCTCTGCCTTCGGCTTGGGTCATGGTCTCAGGGTCCTGGGTCCGAGCCCCGCATCAGGCTCCCTGCTCGGCGGGGAGCCTGCTTCCTCCTCTCTCTCTGCTTCTCTGCCTACTTGTGATCTCTGTCAAATGAATAAATAAAATCTTTTAAAAATAAAATAACTATTTTTTCTGTAAGTTTTATAGCTTTAGTTTAGTTCATGATCCATTTTCAGTTAATTTTTATGTAAGATGTGAAGTTTATTTTTTCAAAGATTTTATTTTTATTTATTTGACAGAGAGAGAGAGAGAGAGGGAGGGAGGGAAGGAGAGCACAAGCAGGGGGAGGAACAAAGGGAGAGGGAGAAGCAAGCTCCCGCTGAGCAGCCATCACACTAAGATTTAATATCAAGGTGTAGGATTCCTCCCACTTTATTTCTCTTCCTCGACACTGTTAAAGCTATTTTAGGGCCAGGACCATTCCCTGCAAATCTGAGAGTAGGTCTGTCTATTTCTACAGAACCCTCACCGGGATTCTAGCAGGAACTGCATGGAACGTGTAGATCGGTCTGGGGAAAGCGACAGTCTTCCGTACTGTGTCTTCTAACCTACCAACATTTACTGAGATTCCCATTTAGATTCCCATTCACATGTCCACGAGTTCAGATTTTCATCGATTTCTGCTTCGCTCTCCTTCCGCATTTCCGGCGTAAGCACTCGCCACTGTAAACCTCCCTCGGACCCCTGCCTGACTCACCTCCCACATCTGGTTTCTCGGTACTGTCATCCGCTTGTACGGATTTTTCCGTTTCCTTTGCAAGTTCTTCTGTGGCCCAGGGCTTTCAGAAATGCACTGTTCAATTTCCATACAGAGATTTTCTTTTGTTTCTATTATTCATTTCTAGCTTGATTCCATTACGGTCAGAGAACAACCTAATGATTTCAATTCTTGTAAATCCACTGAGATTTGTTCTTTGGCCGAGGACACGGTCTGTCTTGGCCGGTGCTCCACAGGCACTCGAAAATGTGTATATTCTGCTGTTGCTGGGTAAGATGCTCTTTATCTGTCAACCAGATCCTATTAGTTACTAGTGTTGCTGAGATTTTCTCTGTCCTTGTGATTTTCAGTCAAGAGGTTCCAGGAGATGCTGAAAGGGGTTTCAAAGTCCCCAACTACAGGGGCACCTGGGTGGCTCAGCCAGTAAGAATCTGACTCTTGGATCAAGCTCAGGTCATGATCTCGGGGTCGTCAGGCTCTGCACTCAGCAGGGAGGCTCTCCCTCTGCCCCTCCCCCCGCTCACATGGGTGCTCTTTAATAAAAGGTCCCCAGCTGTAACTGTGAATTTTTATTTTTTTAAGGTTTTTCCATTCAACTACATCAGCTCTAAGCCTCCAGTGTCTGATGTAACCTCATTTAGTGTGGATTATCCTTTTATTATTATGAAACGTCATTCTCCGACTCTAGTATGTTTCCTGGCTCGGTGGTCTGCTTAATCTGACTTGATAGAGGCAATCCTGCTCTCTGGGTTACGGGTGGCGTGCTATGAATCTTTCTATCATTTTACTCAGCCTGCCTGCGTCACTGGGTTTGAAGTGAGTTTCTTGTCAATGTATTCTGGGGTCCTATGTTGTTGTTTTGTTTGTTTGTTTGTTTGTTTTTTAAGATTTTATTCATTTATTTGACAGACAGAGATCACAAGTAGACAGAGAGGCAGGCAGAGAGAGAGGGGGAAGCAGGCTCCCCACTGAGCAGAGAGCCCGATGCGGGGCTCAATCCCAGGACCCTGAGATCATGACCTGAGCCAAAGGCAGAGGCTTAACCCACTAAGACCCCCCTGCGCCCCAGGGGTCCTATGTCTTGTACCTGCTCCGCCGGTTCATGTATTTAGAATATTTACATTTGAGGCGTGCCTGGGTGGCTCAGTGGGTTAAAGCCTCTGCCTTCAGCTCAGGTCATGATCTCAGGCTCCTGGGATCGAGCCCAAGTGGGCTCCCTGCTCAGCGGGAGGGAAGCCTGCTTCTCCATCTCGTCCTGCCGCTCCCCCTGTTTGTGCATTCTCTCTCTCAAATAAATAAATAAATAAATAAATAAATAAATAAAAGCTTCAGAATGTTTACATTTGAAGCAATCACTAATTTATTAGTCCTCAGGTCTGGTATTTTGTTATTTGTTTCCTGCTTGTGTCCTTTTTGTTCTCATACCCATTACTCTTTTCTTGATTTCCTGCAGGTTACCTAACACTTTTAGTATTCCATCTTAATTTATCTTGGGGTTTTTTTCTTTTAGTGTATCCCTTTGTCAACTCTTGTCAGAGTTGCTGGCTGTTCTTTGCATAGTTTTGTAGAAGTTATTCTGAGTCTTGCATATATACAGGACTTTTGCATATACTGCGTATATCTGTGTGTGTGTGTGCGTGTACACTTACCTATATACGTGACTCTCGGAGTCGGCTGCTACTAACATTTTATACCTCATGTGAAGTGTGGAAATATCACTTCCATTCCCTTTAACTTTTCCTCTTTTAAATGAAATATCATTGCCCTGAGTATTACGTGGTACTTTAACTTGTTTCAATCATCAAATATGATTTCTAAAAATCATCAGGAAAATGATCATCTCCTGCACATACCCATATTTCTGATCTTTCCATCATTCTTCCTGACTTTGTGCTCCAATAATCCGTAT